AAAAAAAAAAAAAAGCACACATATTTAAGAATCACGCAACCAAAACATTTTGACCACTGACATTCACTGGGGGGAAGGGAATTTAAATTTAAATATTTTTGGCTGATGTTTTTCATAAGGTTTTGAGGTTTCCCTTCCCTGGTAAAAGGCCACAGCAAGGGTGTATTTCTCATGAGCAAGCTCAGAGGACTATTTCAGAAGTTTTATTTTTGAAGAACTGATGGCGTTTAAGAGAAAAAAGAAACTGCAATGACACTTGGGTGCACAAAGAGATGCTTTTGCAGAAATCTAGTGCTCCCTGCCCTTGACTCATGCAAGGTGTTCTGCTTATAAAGCTAAGGAGAAAGTTGTTTGGTCACCATCCAGTCAGGTCTGAGTTCCTTCCTGGCTTCCAAGAATCAGAGGAACAGGATGGGCTTTAGTTGACAGCAGGGTCACTTTGTCCTCTGATAAACTCCCCTGCCCTAGAATCCTATTGGTTTATCCCAGAGAGTCTCCTAGAGGTTGCAAAGTCAATATAAACTTTGTGGTTCTTAAAAAGCGTGCTGAGGATGTAGAAGGGAGGCTGGGAGGCCCCTCTGCTTTTGACTTCAACAATTATTGCTAAAACATTTGCATAACTGTGTTTTTGCTTTTTACATTGCTCTACATTTTCTTCCAATTTAAGTAGGTTTAAAAAATCCACAAAACAGCCTGGGTCTGGAGACCTAGAAATTTAAATTCTCTGGAGTTACAGAAGCCTTAGCTAGGTCACTTGCAAGCTACATGCTCCTTAACATCTCTGGGCCTCAGTTTCTCATCTGCAAAATGGGCTGCGGTGTGAGGGTTCCGTGGTGAGTTTGGTTGCTATGAAGACGGCTTCATTCTGAAGCCAAGGCAGGAGCATGAGTTGCAGGGGGAAGATGGGAGCTTGGGGGAAGCGTGGTCAGGAAGGAAGGTTCAGGATCGGGTCGCACGCCCCGCGCCGGTCGCCCAGACTCACCAAGATTTCCACCTCGTCTTTTCCCAGAGCCTGGTACTGGCGGCCCGGGCCCGAGAGGGAGAGTTTCTGCAGGAACTTGGAGAAGAGTCTCTCGACCATCGCGAACCGGCCGAGGCTCCCCGCCAGCCTCTCGTCGGGCCGGCGGCCGCCCCTGCCCGCGTCCTTCGGTCCCCAGCGAGGCCCGGGCCGGTCGCGCGCCTCCGAGCCTCCGGGGCTGTCTACCTGCGCGCCGCAGGTGAGGCCCCGCCCCGGGGCGGGGCTGCGCACGGAACGGGGCTCTGCGCACCTGGCCCCACCACGCGCTCGCCTGGGATCCCAGCTCCCTTGGGGACCTCGGCAGCTGCGCCGCAGAACTCGAATTGTTTCCTAGATTTGCCAAAATACGGGAGGCAGAGGCTCAAACGCTTATTTAAAATCAGGATTCCCAGACCCCTTCCCATCCAGAGTCTTTGCCTAGGGGAATGGGGGGCGGCCATGTTTGGTAAGCTCCTAGGTGACTCTCTCCAGGCCCAAAGGTGGTCAACGCCAACATGCCCCGGGGCAGGTGTGCGGAGCCACGTCCAGCTCCTGCCCAGCTACCCTGCCGCTTTGCACGTGTCTCTCCGCCTCTCTCAACCTCAGTTGCCTCCTCTGTGCTTGAGGGGCAGTGGAAGGCCGAGACCTCGCCTGCAGGAGCCTGGGAGTCAGGCCTGGCGCCGGAGAGTTTGAAGACCAACGCTGCCTGTGGCCTCCATGTGATCTTGGGCGATCTTAGAGCCGCACCTGCTCTTGCTAACCTGGGGCCTCCGCTGGTTCCTTGTTCCCTCCGTTTACCGCCCTGCAGTGTGGCCGCTGTGACAGCACATTTTCCACATTGATCCTGAAAGGGTTACACGACAGTGTGGCACGGAAGGCCTGGGGCAGGGCCCAGCATATCCCTGGGTAGCCCTCATCGCTGCGAAGCTTCTGGGCTCCTCAGAAGAACAAGATTGAATGGGCAGTGTGGACAGTCTCCAGCCATGCTGAAAGGCCTGAGGGCTTTCCTTGGCTTGAGAGGTGACTAGAATCTGTACCTGGACCTACCACTTTGTAGTAGGTGCTTTGGGAACGGCAGGACCACTGCTGTGTGCCCTGAGATCCTCATCTCTAGAGTGAAGACCCTTATAGATCACAGGAGGTGGCAGCAGGTCTGTACTTGGAATTGACTGCATCCTTCTGAGCAAGTATTACTCCACTGCTCCCCAGGGGTGGTCACCTCAGGCCCATTCGACCTGATGTCAAGTCCTAGTGGCCCTTCTGGCCTCTTCTGCGTGGTTCCCTCTTAAGGAAGCAAACAAAGTTGCCCCACCATGCTGCCCCTACTGCACCGGTTTCAGCCCCGGAGTCTGTCCATCTGTCCCTCAAGCCAATCAACAAACAAGTGGATGAGAGATCAACGATTTCACTTATTATACAGAAACGCCAGCGATTCCAGAGAACAGTGGGGACAGCTCCTCAAGGAGCTGCCCTGCTCTCCTGTCCTTGTGTTACTTTAACCCCCTCAAAGTAAAAGCAGCAGCATCAGGGTTATCAATCATCATAGTACACCGTACACAGATCCCCCCACATGGGTTACAAGGTTACACAATATCCTCCTACCCATTCCTACTCTAGACTAAATTTATAGTTAATCTAGGTCTGGAGTTGGGGTGGGATAGGAAAGGGCCTGGATATCAGCATCGCAGCCATCAGAGGAGCGGGGTACATTGCTGCTTCCCAGTGTGCTCCCCCCCTGCTGATTCAAGTCTTGGCGGAGCACCTGTGAATGTCCCAGGACACAGGAGGCTTGTGACTTCCTGCTACAGGGTCCTGTCCCCAGCCTCATATCGTCCTGGGTGGCTGTCCTGGCACCGTGGTCCTTGAAGCATCTGGTCTCTTAACTTTATCTATAACAGAAGGACTTGTACATGAGTAAACAGCTCCATATGGGGGCACATGGGCTCATCCAGCCCTGCCAGGGCCTAACCAGCTGTGCCCTGTATATATTGGTTATTTAGGGGTGACAGTAGCCTCCATCATGGGAATAGCAGAAAAAGCAAAACTCAGGTGTCAGTCCGATGTGAACCCCAAAGACCTGTTCCTTTCAGATGTGTCACCTTGGGCAACTTTCTTCATGCTTCTCCACCTCTCTTTACTCATCCACAAAATGGGGGTGTCACTACCTACTCACACGAGTCCGGCTCGCAGCAGGAAATAGCCCCCTCAAACTGAGCCATCTGGGGAGGCTTTGAGAAACAGACTATTTACAAAGGCACAGGCAGGGTGCTGAGAAACCAGAAGGGATCGAGCCATTCCCCAGTTAGCAGCAGTGAGAAGCTGCTCCCACCTGAGGCCTGAAGGGTCAGAGGTGAGAACAGTTATGTGGAGTGGGTGGCCATGGAGCTGGAGACTTCAGTGGGGGGAAACAGGTCCGACTGGAAGCCAGAGGGCAAGGGAGCTACAGATGCAGCCTCCTGGGCTCAGAGTCCGAAGGAGAGAGAGAAGGGTGGAGACTGCTCTAGAGGAACAAAGGTAAGATGTCTGGAAGAAGCTAACTTTACTGTCCCTTTACTGCACTTTACTGTGCAGGCTGAGCTGATGCTGGCAAGGTGGTACTTCCTAGCAATACCTGGTGTGGTAGGTCCCCAGGGCATTCTGTGAAGAATGCCCGGGAACTCAACTCATGTTGATGCATTTTGGAATTTTAAGATAATGTTAGATCAGGGAAAGAAGAACGCTTCGTTGGCATGGAACTTCGTGCTTTTCCAAGGGTGTAAATCAGGTATCATTTCTCCAGGTGGTGCAGCGCCCCCGGCAGGGAGTGATACGTCAGTCAAATGCCCTCCCCTGGCTTCCCATCACCATGGCCTCTGCTCCAGCCCAGAGACGTCAAGGCTTGGATTTGTGGACCAGGTCTGAGGCAGCTGGAAAT